TTGATTCTGAATCTGAATATATTGGGTCAATGTAATCGGTATTTATGATATGATTGACGATGTCCCCTAGAGAACGTTACTATAAATAGCAGATATCGATATGTCTCATGCCAAAAACATTTAGTGAACCATGAATGAATTATGAAATACAAGTAATACTTTCCTATATCATATCACATGTGAAGACATATACATCGAGGCAACAGTATATACATATACTACTTTTGATTTCTTTTTAGATCAGCTGAGAGAGGGGAACGTTTCTGAAGGTACATTCTTTTTTAATTACTTAAAGTAGTTATCCAAAGAATATTTTCTTAAATTTGAATTCTATTCTTTGTAGATATTCTCAGAGAGGAAAATACTGGTGTACCTGCAGACGAAAATGGTATAATTTGTTATACTCTTCTCTTGAAATTTTAAAGTGTAGTGTTTAAGAATTTGCAAGGAATTCGAAGTGGTACTAAAACATATTACAATTATGTCATATTAGAAAAGAAAACTAGAGGTACTGTGAGCACTGAGCTTACAAATGATACCCCGCCTCCCATATGATTATAATGACAAAGTCCATGTTTTGCAATGGGAGACCCGAAATATGTGTCAGATCAAAAAGTAAAATAGGAGGTGCACAATGGCACTGTGTAATAAAGATTCTGTGAAAGTGTCATTAAATTTCATATTCAGTGGTATACGAGGAATTTAGGATCAGAGATGGGTACCCCAAAGCGTAACAGACGGACGGACGGACGTGCAGACAGACGGACGGACGTACACCCCGATCACTATATTCCTTCCCACTTTTCAAGCGGGGGTATAAAAATGGCATAGATTAACTGAATCATATACAAAGAAAAGTTATGAGTCGCCACCAAAGTTCATTTAAAGCTATGCATTCCTCAGTTTTACCAACAAATACATGATACCTGAAAATTGTTTTTAACAGAGGAAACAGTATTGCTTCATTCTACAATCGATGATAGCCAAAGTGAGTATTCTGTACTTTTCAATTTTTGTACACATTCAAAACGATATATCATGTTGATAAATTAAAATAATTTTAAATATTAAGAAAATATCATGTCATTTTTAATTCTTGATACACTGTTGGTTAGAAAATAAAAAAAAAATGAAAGTTACAGTATACTGTATTGTAAATCCAAACATCAATTAATACCCGCTCACTATTTTTTGAAATAACTCATATTGTACATTTGCTTTTTGGGCGCCATTCTGCAGTGACTTATCTTGTATAGAAATCAGTAATACTTTTTGTAATCGCATTTTTTTAAAATCTCATAAGTAATGACACAGGTACAATGTCCAAACGAAAGTTTTACTTTTGGTTATATATATGTTACAAGTAAAGTCTTCAAAGAGTGCTCAGTTAACCAACTATAAGTCGAAAGTTCCGATCATCGAAAACAAAAGTCGCTACCTGGTTACACGAAAACGATATTACAATGTATAATTATAATAGCATAAACATTTATCAGCAACACATCGTTATTCTTAAAATCAATCCAGACACAAAGAATGGTAGACCATCTTCATTGATTTAAAAAAAAATTTGATTGCTAGAATGTTAGACAACTTCATTGTTCCAAAGAATATTTTCTTAAATAATTCTATTCTTTGTAGATATTCTCAGAGAGGAAAATACTGGTGTACCTGCAGACGAAAATGGTATATTTTGTTATACTTTTCTCTTGAAATTTTAAAGTGTAGTGTTTAAGAATTTGCAAGGAATTCGAAGTGGTACTAAAACATATAACAATTATGTCATATTAGAAAAGAAAACTAGAGGTACTGTGAGCACTGAGCTTACAAAATGATACCCCCGCCTCCCATATGATTATAATGGCAAAGTCCATGTTTTGCAATGGGAGACCCGAAATATGTGTCAGATCAAAAAGTAAAATAGGAGGTGCACAATGGCACTGTGTAATAAAGATTCTGTGAAAGTGTCATTAAATTTCATTCAGTGGTATACGAGGAATTTAGGATCAGAGATGGGTACCCAAAAGCGAAACAGACGGACGGACGGACGTGCAGACAGACGGACGGACGTACACCCCGATCACTATATTCCTTCCCACTTTTCAAGCGGGGGTATAAAAATGGCATAGATTAACTGAATCATATACAAAGAAAAGTTATGAGTCGCCACCAAAGTTCATTTAAAGCTATGCATTCCTCAGTTTTACCAACAAATACATGATACCTGAAAATTGTTTTTAACAGAGGAAACAGTATTGCTTCATTCTACAATCGATGATAGCCAAAGTGAGTATTCTGTACTTTTCAATTTTTGTACACATTCAAAACGATATATCATGTTGATAAATTAAAATAATTTTAAATATTAAGAAAATATCATGTCATTTTTAATTCTTGATACACTGTTGGTTAGAAAATAAAAAAAAAAATGAAAGTTACAGTATACTGTATTGTAAATCCAAACATCAATTAATACCCGCTCACTATTTTTTTTAAATAACTCATATTGTACATTTGCTTTTTGGGCGCCATCTGCAGTGACGTATCTTGTATAGAAATCAGTAATACTTTTTGTAATCGCATTTTTTTTAAATCTCATAAGTAATGACACAGGTACAATGTCCAAACGAAAGTTTTACTTTTGGTTATATATATGTTACAAGTAAAGTCTTCAAAGAGTGCTCAGTTAACCAACTATAAGTCGAAAGTTCCGTTCATCGAAAACAAAAGTCGCTACCTGGTTACACGAAAACGATATTACAATGTATAATTATAATAGCATAAACATTTATCAGCAACACATCATAGCACTGTGTAAAAGTCGATGTATGGATTTGTTTATACCCTGTGGCAGGTCGTTAATACTTTCTCTTCCAGAAATATAATCTATTTAAAGTGCCTTTAAACCTCGACAACAAAATAATAAATTTATTCTAAAATGATAAAACACAAGTGACTGTTGAATTTTATGCACTTCTGTTGTTAACCATGGTCAGTAATTAAATGATATTCTTCTTATTCTCATAAATGATCTAATGCATGAGAGGTACAAATAAAATTTGTTTAATTCGCATGATTTTGATATGATTAGGAAATGAACTGTAATTCACTTTTAGAGAAAATGCAGCACAGACTTACCAAAGTCATCGTATTCTACATAATCTATTAATGATTTTAACCATTATATTGCATTGTGAGGAAAAAGAGGCATACATGTACTTATACTCAAATTATCTCATAAAACCGCTGGTTAGACATTGAGAAAAGTCATCATTGGAAAATGTTTATATATACACTGTAAAAAATGTCTAAACATGTTTGATTTTGTGTTTAACAACTAAACACATAAGTCTCAATGTATTTAAAATCTATACGCGTTTAGATATTGAACATGTTTTTTGTTTTAAATTCGATCAAGTGCAGAGTTATCTTCCCGGAAATGATATATATTTGAATGTTTATAAGCGCGGTTGTCGAAATAAAGAAAGTCACAACAAAACAGTAAACGATATTTTCAAGGAAACTGGTGAGAATTTGAGTGACAGTGATCGCAGAAATAATGAAAAATACATGAAAGGCTTCTTGTTACTTTTACAGAGGGTATGTATGATTTTGTTTGAATAAAAGTTACACGAAGAGCAAGGTAAACAACATTGCTTTTTATATCCGGGATGTCTTTGGATGCCATATCATGTATTCACTAATGAGAGTAAATATTGAATATAAAGATGCATAAATATCGATTAAAACATTTTTATTATATGCTCAATAGTTAATGTAAAACTTTAGCATGTTTAGTAAGGAGCACATACTGCTACTTTAATGCACCGTACGTTCTTTCTTACAGGTTAAATTTATTGGATAGCCGAGAGAAGTAACTTCAAAATTCATTTCTGTTAATGGATGTGGAAGATGGATTATACATACTGCCATAGAAAACACTTTCAAGATTATCCGGATACTCTGCTGTTTTGTTTATATCACTGCGGATTTGAAATAGTGAACCGTATTCCATCACATTGTAAGAAGCACATCATACATTTGTACCTATAGTCTAAAGACTGTATTTTATTTGTAAATGCAATATTAACTTTGTATTGTGTTACTGCCTTACAATGCAGACAATTCAACAACTGGGTGTTCCTAACTCTTAAGATGCAAAAAGGATGATATGTCAAAACTTCTGTAAGACTGTACAAAAAATGAAAACCATTCACAAGAGAAAGGAGTTCCGCCGAACAATGATTCCATGAGAACACTTTACTGTGTGTTAGGTTTTTTTTTTTAGCATTTTGATATGATGTTTATAACTAAATAAAACTTATAATGGACACGCCTGTTATATTTTCAGTTTTTTTGCAGATCCTTGTTTAAAACATTGAAGTGTTTAGGTTCTAAACGCAAATCTAAACTGTTAAAATTTGTGTTTAAAATCTAAACATGTAAGCATTTAGGTTCAAAACACTTTTCATCACGCGTATTGAAATTAAACATGTTTAGAATTTAAACGCATTAAAAAAAGTGTGACAAGGTTGTGTTTAGAAATGTGTCTATCATCTAAACACATTTTTTACAGTGTAGTCATGCAAGTATTTGCAATTTCTGACATTCATCGTTGATATGAATTTTATTAGTAAATGTAGTACACTCATTGAATGTCCAAAAAAAAAATAGTTTTTAACGCATGCCACAATGAAAAAAAAATTAGCAAATACTCTGTCTTGTTTTTTTTTTTTTTTTTTAGAGCAAACAGAATTCCAAAGTGCTACTAAGAACGATGATAGCCAAAGTGAGTTCTAAGTATTACATCTGCCCTTGCATTAGAGTATGTTTATACTTAGGTCTGAATATAACTAATCACAAATATTCTTTTTTCTAAATCTGAACAGTCAATAACTATTATACGAGAAACAAATGTATGAGATTTGCCTTATCCTCTGTTTTTAATACATATGTTAAGTTCAATGATTTTTTTTGTATTTTTTTTTTAATTGAAATGCTTTTCAGGCATCATCTCACGAGAATCAGCTACAGATGAAATAGGTAATGTATTAAATAAAGTGGGATAAAAATCTTAATCATTAAACAATGTCTTCACAGATATAAAAAAATGTTGACGGAAGAGGTTAACTTATATAAAAGTAACAAACGTGTTCAAAGAAACACATGTATTTCCTGCTAAAATATCAATATAGGATTTAAATACACCTTAAGGTGATTAGATATTTTATTTTTGGAAATTGGATAAAACTACCTAGAACGCAAAAAGTAAATGAAAGAGTGAAGGAGGAATATCAGGTGTAGTGTACAACAATGTATTCAAGAAGTAGTTTAAATCAGATGAGGATACTTAAAAACTTCAAGGAATTTTATAAAATTAAAAATCACAAAAAAGTGTTAAATCTAGACCCTAAAAAGGGCACGGTAAACCAAGAATCAAAAGGGCACGTCACGCCGCGACAGGTTTTCATGAGGGCACTTCTTAAAGTCTTTGATGTTATAAACATTTACTTTATGTACTTTAATTATCATTTAATACTGAAATCTTTATTCGTCAAGTAATTAAAAGATAAATTCATAAAACTGTGTTAAATACTTTTCTTAAAAGAATAGCAACTCAATCTACGCACTAGCAGGACAATTATTGAAGCAAAAAATAAAAATATGTATTATTTTATATTCAAATTTTTGAATCAAGAAATAAGTTAGGTTACGCTAAAAAACGTAAGAGATGAGAATCTAGCTGTAACTTAATAAAAAAAATCAGGGGAGCGGAGGGGGGGGGGGCTACCTGGAAAATAAATGTAGATGGCATTCTCTTTATTCGGAAAAAAATCTACCAACATGATCAAGTGAAAACCGATCATACCAAAAAATTAAACTTGAATGCAATATATAAATCGTTTATTTTTTTTTTCTGGCTTACAAACATTTGCCCTCACTAGGGCCAGGGTGCCAACTCTATTAGAAAACAGCATCATTCAAAGAAACTAACTTCATTCATTGTTGTTTTCAAGCCCATTTCCCATAAGTTTTTAGGTCAATGTAAGTTTTTTTTTTGAGTTTTCTTCATTAACTTTTTATTCTACTTTCGGTTTAAAAAACAATCCTGATTTAAATTATTTAACAATTTTTAGAATTTAATCTATCTTTGGCACTGGGCTAATTCTTGCAAAATGAATGCAATCAAATGATGTTTTCTATTATTATACCTCTATTAAGAATACTCAAATTTGATTGGCTTGTTAGGATGCTTTTAAACTCAATCATGACTCCAAAAAGTACCGTTTACAGCAATAATGACCTGCTCTCTTGTACATTAAAAGTCTGCACCAGATTGTCATTGTACTCGGGAATGGTATTTGTGAATTTATAAAAATGCATGCTACTGACAATCACAGAGTGTTTTAATAAATCGGCGGTGCAAAAACTTACAAAACTTGCAGGCGGAAAGTAAACAACTTCACTAGTGAATCCCGATCCCGATGGAACACTGATAATAAGAGTTCGTAGGTCTAATACACAATTGATTATTTTAGTAATTAAGCCTACAAAAATTGCCTTAACTTATATCGGTATAATAAAACAATTGATTACCCCTTATGAGGTCAACATGGTGAAATAAGGACCCTCGACCTGGCCCACGAGGTGGCCTGACCTGACCGAGGCCGCGTAGCGGCCGAGGTCAGGTCAGGTCAGCGAGCTCATGTTGACCTCATAAGGGGTAATTAATTGTATAGTGTTATCTCCTATAGGCCTATACCCTAACAGCCCAAGGCATGTTACCTGGTCAGGTGACTGTGTGCGTTCAAGTCAGAAGTTATTTCCTCCTTTGCATGCATTATGTAAACAAAGGGGTTAATCAGCATGCACTGAATAAACAAAGTAGCTGGCCAATCTTGCACTGCTGGGCATATTTATTTATTTTTGGTGAGGAAAAAAAGGGCATGGCGCCGCGCAATGCTAGTTTGCTTTAGATTTATCACTACAAAATTTTACTAAAATGAATAACAGGTTTCAGAAAGATACAGGTTTCGGAACCTAAAAATCTTCTTTTATGGATAAAAAAAATTTTTGCATGGCCCAAGACGAAAATATCGTTTTACTTCTTCCTCCTTATTGTACACGTGCGCAGAAAAGTTGAAGTTACCATGGTCTCAAGTACGAAAAAATGAACGACGGTAGACCCAAGAATTTTGATACAATCTTCAAAAAAGATTATAATAGCATATTTCACACCTTTACATGTTCCAATTGAATGTTGTTTACAAGTTGACGCTAAAATAAAAGTGGCATGACCTTGACATACACGACAAGAACGAAACGGTAGATCCAACCTTTGTTTTCTGTCACTTATATTGTGCAGTCTTCTCTTGCTTTACAGTGCTGTTTAGTTGTCATATCTTCGCTATATTCATAATTTTCATAAATCTTTCTCTTTATGATACACATATCTTAAAAGAAACACATGATTTTAACTCATAATTTAACTTTAACAATTATAGTTACTTCCATTCATATGTCGACTCGATATATCCCAGTGAACTTGAAGATACCACAGAGTCTGACTCATCTGTTTCTTATCTGGATATTGTACTAGAAAAAGACGTTAATGGTAACCTAACAACAAAGCTTTATGATAATCGTGATGACTTCAACTTTTTTATCGTCAATCTCCCTCACTTATGTACCAATATAACCTTATCACTTACATATGAGGTTTATATCTCCCCAGTTGATTTGAAATGCAAAAACATGCTCCCCGTAGGAACAATTTCTAAAAAGGGGCAAGCTATTGACAAGCGAGTTGATGAAACAAGGATATTAACAGTCTCGTTTAAAGTCATCATTTCGCAAGTTCTATGGTCGATACAATAACCTTGTCAGAAAATACAATGTATCACAAAGTCGAATGCTGACTGACGTTTTTCATACTAATTGTTAGACCATTATTTAAACACTGAATTGTCTACGGATATTTCCGTTTGCCCGATCATGACAATGAGTAAACGGCGGGTATGACCGGCCGACACGGGATACTTACTCCTCCATGACACCTGATCCCACCTCTGATGTTTGCTCTGCTCTTGATTTGTATTGTTTCAATGGACTCGTGTGTTTGATTACTGTTCGTTTTCTCCATATTTCTTTCACTGGTATTTCCGGTAACTTAATTGCGAACTTTAGTACATTTGATTTAAAAAACATATTAATAGTAACGAGGCACAAAAATCATAAAGCACTTTTTTCATGCAGGAGGCCGAAGATTAGTTTTTGCACCACAGCTTTCATAATGCTCTCTGTACTAGAGAGCTGTTTGTGTATATTTTCTTGGAATTGCTGATTTTTCTTCTCCCTGAATGCATTTTAAGCAGTATATTCACTGGTTTTTGTATAATATTATAATGCTTGCAGATACAGTGACAACTGACAATATGTAGGCTAATACGTTAGAGAATAACAAAAAAAAACCAAATCTTTAAACAAGGAAGCTTCCCTATTCTGTGGATTGATAAGTATTCCTCATTTGATCCCATTTTGCACATATTTGAAATAATATGTAGGGAAGATGTGTCATAAACAAGACTTTGCCCAGGTAAGAAAGATACTAAATTGCTACATTCTATACCATAGTTCTTGAATAGAAATAAAAGCAGAAAGCAATGTCATGCACATTTTATGTCAATTCAATTTATAACAAGGATAAACTATTTCAAAATATAGAAAATCACTATAATGCTCATGCAATTATCCGATTTTTCATTTGTCTTGGGTTGATTGATCATTCATTAATGTTTGGTTAAGCTTAAATAGCATCATCCTTATTGACCTATGAATTATTTACAAAATGAAGAAAACAAATGAGACATAATATTTTCATATTTTCTTTTTTTCTACTCTGGAGTAAAAACATATAAATAAAGGTGAAAAAAAAATTAAAAAAAAAGGTGATAGAAACCAAACTTTACTTGGTATCAAACACATGGCAAAACCATTGTTCTCTAACTTATTTCCAAATGATTGCAAATCGGGAACACACTGTATCTGAATAAGTTAGAGATTTTGCTACTAAATATTTGTTTGATTTTGACGTGTTTACAAAATATTAGTCATTTATTCAGAGCGTTTATTTCAAAATAAATAAGTAAATAAAATTCTTTTCCTTCTTATTCTTTTTATTGAGTATTTTTTCTTGGGGTATATAATGCGCTATTCAAAATACTGAATGAACCGGAATGACATTAAAACTTGATTGCAAGAAAATTTTCCTATCAAATGCACATGGAGCACATCTGCCTTTAAATCTTTAATTCTTGCAATAGTCTATGTAATGATTATCTAAAGAAATACGAGGGTTGTCCGGTAAAATCGTGGACAAATTGTCTACAATGAAAAAAACCATCACTGCGTTCTAAAATTTTTACTACTGTAGATCTTTAGTACGTTTTTCTTCAATATACATAGCAAATTTTAAATAGATATATGCATAAATAAAAAAATCATGAGATTTTTTGTTATGTGTAGTATCGCCTTACGGTGCACGGATGATAACGTCGAAATGTCTAAAGCAGCATCCATTTCCTCTTTGCTATAAAAAAGTTGGAAAAGCCCCACTTAAATTCGGGAATTTCATTGACGGACATACTTAAGTTTCCCTTTATTCCTCCATAAACAGTTGAGGAACCAATCTCGCATACACATGGGACCTTCTAAAGATTTATTAGTAAGTTATGAACAATACTCTCACTATCATTCAACTAAATAGGCTATCTTTTACCGACGGTTTACAATGACAACATGTTTCGCTATTTCCAGTAGTTGCTTGTCCATATGTTTTGTTCTATCTTGGGTCTAGATCAAAAAGATTTCGCTTAGAAAACTCCCATTTCACTTGTATACTAAAGATCTAATGATATTTTTATATTTCTTTTCTTCTGATGTCATTTAAAGTCTCTTAGGGCGTCATTACTCCATCTAAATCAAACTGAACTGCTGTCCGGTGCCTCGTACGTCATGAAACGTTACCATTTTTCGCGTGTTTTATTTAACACTTTCCCATTTCAAATGCTCGGGAAACTGCCAAAAATTAAGCAAATGCCTTGAATTTTTCCAAAAGACGACATAGTAGATAGTGGATTAAAAATACGATAATTTTTACCCCAATCTTATCTATTTAATACATTACTCGTGTATTCTCTAATGAAACTGGTTTTTTTTTTATCTTGCATCATAGGACCTTACCCTGTGCATATTCAAGCATAATAAAATCTTTATTTTTGTCTTTATTTTATCAATAAAATTAAGATGCACTTAAAATGATAAAAAACATTTGCTGAAAATTTCATAATTTTTCGATAAAAACGCTTTGTCCACGATTTTACCGGACAACCCTCTTATTTTTATGTAGAATTAAATTTGTGTCCTATTTCTGACAAATGTTATATGAAGCAAAGAACTGCGAACGATAGTATTTTTCTCCCGCCTACCTCAAAGTTAATTTTCAAAAGTTAACACATTTGAATGATTTTTAATATTTATATAGATATTTATATGAATTTTCATAAAACATTACTTCTTTGGGAAAACAAAGAGAGATAACCCTATAATTTGGATAAAACTTGTGTTTTTCACTATAGAGATCAATGGAAAACGGAAAATAATTTTAAAACATCTTTCCCCCCGTGAAACAAAAATTCCTTTTTACAGGTAATATGGACTGTCATTTCACAACTTCTTACCAAAGCCTTTTCTCTTTCACGGGGGGGGGGGGGGGCATATGTTAACAGACAAAAAAACTACAAAAATGCTTATTTTTTTCACCAATTTCGAAGGGTTTTACAACTAAAACATTTTTTTTCATCAATAATATATGTTTAATTCTATATGCGTAAAACATAAGAAATGATTTAAGGAACATTTATTCATATCCAAGAATATTTTAAAATGTGTTGATGCTTTAGAGCCCGATTTCAAAGGAAAATATCGTCTACCCCCCTTACTTTAAGAGCTGGAATTAGGGGTAATTAACTATTTAACACTGGCATTATAATTATCAGTCAATTACCATTGAACTGTTCTTTGCATTCAACAAAGATTTTACGGTCAAATTGCCATACGTATTGAATTAAATGGGTCTAAAATGTAGGCGGGAATCGAGAGTTAGTGTGCGTACTTCTTAAAATATTTAGTGCATATGGAAAGTCAATGGTAGCTTATTTCTTTATTTAGAATATCTACAACTAAACTGAATTTAACTGTTAATTTACTTGAATATTTGCAGTTGTCATCAGAGGAGAAATTTTACTTGATATGAGAAGAGGCATGACAGGTAAACATTGAAAATGCATTGTAATATGACTTTTCTAACCTACTCTTTACAACTTAGATAGTAGCCAATAACTTTTATATTTTACATATTTCTAATTTATCCAGCTCATGCATATAATAAATGAAGATTAAATAAAAATGACACAACATCCATAAACGATAAAAATTAAATATTCACTAGTTGATAATGTTATTTACTACTTATGTTCAAACACTTATGGTGAAAAAAAAAGTATGAAAGGACGAGTTGCAATTTACTTGTAAAATAAGAATGTAGGATGATTAGAGTATCTGAAGTCTCGAAACATGAAAAATTATGACCATATGCATTATGATTCAGAAATAACGTGGGCATAATTTCCTTTTAAAAGTCAGATAACGGAGAATGTAGAATTCATCACATAAAAGGTCTTAGACTTTTTGGTCAGGTATGCCTATAGAAACTCTAGTTTTCCCAGGCATGACTTTAAAAAAATGATTTAAAAATATTGATCGTAGTATGAGATATAAAGAAATCGATGTAGTTATCTCAAAAAACAGCAATAAAATATCTGAATAGTAGTAATATTGATATAAATGTGATTTTCTAGCGGAAAATTTTGAAAATAATATTCTCGAGCGCGGGCGCGGTATTTCTTATAAGTAATGGATAATGCCGAATACTGTTCTATATGTAAAATTATCAGACTGTTTGAGGCCCGTTAGGGCCGAAAAAAGTCTGATAATTTTACATATAAAATCGTAGGAGGCATATATCTTACTTAAAAAATTGTCATTTAAATGTCCAAAAGTTACCTGGAGGAATCCGATAATTACACAATAGGAATTCTGGCATCAATATTGTTTTTGTTTTTGTTTTTTTTTTTTTACCTGAAACCATCTAATAAGTAGACAAAAGAAAAGAGAAAGGTTTTTTTTTCTTTAGACATTAAAAAGAGTGAGTGAACTCTTTGGTTTCATTTCATTCATTCAATGGAAGTCGCTTAGCTTAGCAGGAAGTATGGACGGTGGTCAGATGTTGGAGGATTTTATTTGTAACATGGCATTCATTGTTTTATTTAGTTCATCTGACATTGATTGTGTTTGATGATATCATCACTATGGAAATTAAAAATGCGGGGTTTTATATAAAATTACGGATATATATTTAAATCCTGTGGTAATATTTAGAAATTTATTTCAAAAATAAGGATTATCTCCCTCATGCATAGCTCTGATCCTTGGAGGTATTTGGCTCGAGTTTTTGACATCTTTTTCAGCTCTTCCAAGTCTTTTTTATTTAAATATTTTGGTTTTCAACGTTTCGGCTTGAGCATCACTGAAGAGACATAATTTGTCGAAATGCGCATCTGGTACATCAAAATTGGTACCGTGTATGATTTACATTGGGCGATATAATCAAAATCTCTGGTTTTGAAAGTGCGGCTATCGGCGAACAAACCTCGTTAAATGGAGAGATTCACAAATTTTTTTTTATCGGAAATGTATCTAAATTTGCTTATTTACAGTGCAGTATCGAAAACGCTTAGCCCCGATAGAAAGTGTTACTGTTTTCGCCACCAGGTTAAAACTCGATTTCCTTCTTCACGGATTTGCTGTTTTGTAACAAATTAATTTCCTTGCATTTGCTTTCCCTTAGTTTGTTTTTTATCTAACCTTTTTTTTTGTTTTTGGGCATATTAAACCTTGATTTTACATTTTGGTTTTTAAATATTTTCCGATTTTGTTATCACTGCCGTCCGATAATATTGTATTGGGCTGGTAATTATTATTATCGGACTGCTACAGGTAAATTTTTAGACTGCAAGAACAAAGGTATGACGTCACAGCAATGTTTAAAAACGTCATATTGTATATTGTACCATGTGTAAAGTGTCAATTATTTGCTATATGATTATAGTTTTGGTGAAGAAGGGGACGAGGGGTTGTGAGGTACATATTGTCGTTCTGTACATATCGTCGTCGGCGACAAAATGTACCTACTCTCACTGCACATATTGTCGTCCATCGGTATAATTGCGAAAAGAAAAGGTCCTATTCAATCTCATTTTATTCAATATTAGAAAAAGAAAGTCCATACTTTCCAGAGAGAGATGATAAGTAATAGATTAAAAGATGTTGGTATGAAATATACATCTAGAAAATATCCTCAACAAAAAGCTTCTGAATTTTCTGTAAATTACATTTTCTCTGCTTTTCCCTTTGTCTCTGTCTTTCTAGGCTCTGACGTCACAAATGAGCGGTTGTGATACGTCATTGCTGTGCGATTGTGAAATTGAAATTGGAAAACATGGATTTTAACAAAAGTTTAGAGAAACTCTGTCATTTTTATCTCTGACTTTTTTTTTTATCTCTTACTTACTCTTATTATCTTACAACAGGATAGGGTTTCTTTTATAATAAAACTTTCATGAAGGGAAGCAAATTCGAGAGCTTTGTCGCACTTGCATATTTTTCACAGTGTGAAAAATATCACTTTGATATTTTTTCAATGTAAAATATACCACTTTCTAAAATACCTCTATTCCATAGTATGAAAAAGAAACACTCTGATATTTTTTTTTCAATGTACAATATATCACTTTCAAAAATATCCCTTTAATTCAATAAACAAATTACATTATTTCACTGTTGAAAATTTAAAATAAATATTACCTTTAAGAAACATGCAAAAACAGGAATTCAATATCTTATAATGGATTTTAAACTTTCTGTAATAAGTTTTGAAAGAAACTTTTACCACACTATTTCTAGATCATTATATTTAGTAACATTGTTACGTATACATGTCTTAGGACTCCCAATGTATCAAATAAAGCAGCATTGATTCTAATCGTAAATTCAGAGTCTTCCTACCCTAACTTTTTTTAAAATTACCAGTGAGAGATTTTATATCATAAATGGACAAGAGATGTACTAATAAAAATTTCTAACCCACCACTCTATTCTTTTCAAAATGTTTCTGTCATATACGGCAAAACAATACCAAAAATTTACTATGAGGAATATTTAATTATTTAACAACAGGAAATTTGAAATCTCTGAAAAAGTCTATTAAACCGTGACGATTTTATCGTGAAAGGAAAACTCGCGTTCATCTATTGCAGAAAAAAAAATTCTTCAATTTTTGTTCTGCTGTCTTAAGACAGATCTTTTATTAAACACACAAAAAATTTCGAATAAAATGCAGCGTATGCTCGTAGTGGAGCACAGAAGATACATTGGTATGATACATGGTTATAATATAGAGGGCAGTTTCTGCAATATTCTGTGCTTTTGTCGCTATTTTTGTTACCGTGAGAAGTTTTAGGTTTTGATTCCAGGTATATTTTACATAAATTCACACATAAATTAAAATTCCCATCGCTGCTAGGCAATTGCATTGTCACCATAAAGGTGCCAATTTCAAGTGACTGGAAATTATATTATGCTTACTTGAATCGTCAACAGTGAAGACGTCGGTTATCCACTACTCTTAAAGATTGTAACATGATTATTTCGCATATAAGAAATCCGGATTAACAGGTGTCGAAATATTGTGGGCATTTTTGGAATAATGCTCTACCATTAACTTCCTCAGTAGTTCAAAATTAATTAATATTTAGTAAAATCATGACAATAAAATCAAAAATTCATGTGACATTTTTAAACAACCTTTATATGTGACTGCCAGTAACATCGCATTATGCAAGACTACATTGCTAAATGTACATGTTCATTAGACTTGTTGGTTAGAAGTTTTGGTAAGTGTATCATTTAAGGTTTGTAATGAGCTACATGTATATGTGATATAATTTTAAAATAAGTGAAACAAATAAAACAATTTATGCAACATAATATTAACATCACACTTGATTTCACATCGTCAATTGTTGTTACAGTATTTCTAAAATGTTAAAAACAAGAACATTTAGATAATAACTGTAATATTTCTGTTCTTGAAAACAGTAGGCTATACTGAAATTATCTGCAAAAATATCTAGTATTGGATTTATACGCATTTAAAGAATTTCAGTAGAAATTATTTAGATTTATCAACAATCTTCTAAGGCTTTTTCTTCAAACCTGTATACTATAATTTAGTTTTTTGTGTTTCAGATACCACAGCAGAGGAAAATATACGTGAGTTTCTTCAAAAGAGTTTTTTTTCTTACCTGAGCTGAAGGCTTAATTGAGCTTTTCTGAATACATCTTGTCCGGCATCCGACCGGCTATCTGTGAACTTTTCACGTTTTCAGCATATTGTTATAACCACTGGGCCATTTTCAACCAAACTTGCCACAAAGTATTCATGCGTAAACAATATCTTATTCACACATTTTATGTATATTCAATTACTTTTTAACCCATTTCATGTCTAGACATGTATATCATAAGTTTATTCACTTTTTGTGCAGTCTAGTTATCACAAATTCACATATTTTATGTGCATAAAATTACAGATTCTCATTTTTAACTCACCTAAGCCAGATGTTCAAGTGAATGCGTGTGATCAAAGTTTGTATGTTATCTGTCGTTGTCGTAGTAAACGTTTCCCAATTTCATCCTCACAAGAACCACTAGGCAAATTTCAACTAAACTTGGTGCAGAGCATCCCTTGATGAAGAAATTCAAATTTCTTAAAATGTACAAGATCTCATCAGAGGAAAAATATGAGGAATTATAGAAATTCTTATCAAGAAGTTCTCAGTCAGGAAATAATTGAAAGTTATGTGGTAGCATCCTCAGGTATTACAGATTCAATTTTGTTCAAATCTTGATCCCTAGGGAAAGCGTGGGACCACAATGGGCGAACAAAATTTTACATGGGGATGTACGGAAAAAAAATGTAAAATCTTCTTTTGAGAAACCACAGGTCCAGATAATATGAAACTTTTAAGAAAGTTTGTTCAAATTATAATCCTTCGGGGTTAGGCGGGGCCAAATTTGGAGTTCAAAATCTTGAAAAATATTCTCAAGACCAGCATAGCATTGGTAATCATTTTTATTTGGAAACTTCCTTAGGTAATGTAGGCTCAAGTTTGTTCAAATCATGACCCCGGGGGTAATGTGAAGCTATAATGGGCAATCAAAGTTTTACATAAAAGTATAAAAGATAAATCGGAAAAAATCGTCTTCTCAAGTACAGCAAAGCAATGATTAGTCATATTTGAATATAAACTTCCTCAGGTAATATAGACTCAAGTTTTTTTTTTTTTAAATTATGACCCCCGGGGGTAGGGTGAGACCAAAATATACAATTAAATGTTTCAGAAAGAAAAAAGAACTTTAAACTAAGCAAATTTCAATCAAACTTGGTACAGAGCATCCCTGGGTGAAGGAATTCAAATTTATTCAAATGTACACGATCTCACTAGAGGCAAAAAATCTCGAATTAGTGAAAAATCTTATCAAAAAACCACTCTGCGAGAAGAAAAAATGAGCAGTGAGGGTTCTTTATGGTGCCAACATCTACTGTGGGACACTACACGGGACCTAGGTTTATAAGTTCTCATCCGAGAGAACCAAGACTTTCACTTCTAGTTTTTGTCGCTTGACTACGGAACAGCCCCTACCTATATTTACGTCTTAGATTTGACGCGGAGCGGTGAACGAGAATCGAACCTTGGCCTCCCTATCATAGTCTTAGATATAATGGTGATGTTAGGTAACTGAATGATTTATAAAGACTTAGTTTTATTATGCTTGATCGAAATTCAGCGTGTTCAATTCGGCATTTATTTTAGGGGTCTAAAGGTGTCAAACGCTGGTGATTTATAAGGATTGATTTAAGATCTTTAGAGTAAATCCATAAAGGGAATTTGCTTTCTAACTAAATCTTCCTTGAGAAAACGTATAAAGGTTTTGGAAACGTTTTTAATGAATGGGTAAGGCACTACAGGCCCTTTGTGTAATGAAGACGCATGTTTCAAAAGGAGGGTATTTTTGACGTTGAAGTGTTCATAAGAGTGCTCGATGATGATAAATGTCGATCCTAGAATAAATTATACGAGAATGAAACTTCACACATCGACAAAATTAAAGTTTTCATATATGGAAATATGTTGATCTTAATTTTTATATTAAAAAAAAAATAGTTTGTTGAAGGGCAACATCGTCTACGTATTTTTGATGACCCTCCTAGGCCAGAAGACCAAAATTTGCGTATGAAAATAATGCATATGAAAAAATATATTCCCAATTCAGAAAAAAAGCCAAAACTAGTGTCCAATAAAGGACTCCTGCGGGCATACACATATGAAGAATATGTTTATTTTTTTCGAAATGGACGAGACTACAATGCTTAGAAGAAACCTAATGCATAATTATTCTGCAATAGACCATGTTGGAAACATGTATTATGACTTAAGGAGGGATTCATCTCATATTTCTTGTATTTAAAAATAAATGAAATTTTCATAGATTTAAGAAGGCATTATCATTAAGTGATGGTATCAATTAGATTAAATTTGACCGTTTTATTTTAAAAGCAAGGTCAGGTCAAGGTCATTATCTTTTTCCTTAAGAAATAAAGAATAAAAAATTACTGTTGCCAATCATGCCATGCCTACTTCTGTTTCAAAAGATTAAATGTTTTTCTTTTTGCATAAAATGATATAACCATATAGGGTCTAATAGACTATGCTACCAAATTGACATAAATATTTTAACTAAAATAGATATTGGCTAATCCGAATTTCCTCTGTTTTTCGTAGAGTTTTAGGATATATTAGTTATTTTTATATGCCTCGTATATTTAATTTTTTCTTTTTTTCACATATGGTAAAGAAGTCATATAAAGATACAAATTGATACAAAAACAAAAAGTTTTGACCGTTTACTAAGAGAGAAAAAACACTTTATACGGATTTTTTGCTCAAATCTGTATTTAGATTGGAAGCTTTTAAAAGCTAACAAAATTGTAGTTTGTTTGGAAAATCATATTTATTTGATATATTTTAAAATTTCAGTCCATTATTATTAATTTTACTAACATTTGAAATTTTCGTAGCCTTTGATTGTTTAAAATTTTTCAACTAAATTCATTGTTCTATAGTAATTTTGAGAAGCAGAAAAGGAAATATTTTCATACGCCGCCGTTCCGCCAAAAATATAGTCCATGCTAGATTTTAAACTCAGTTTACCATTTGTATTTAAAGTTGTACATTTATGATGAGGAAAGAAAAATAGGATCTTTTAAACCACTTACATCTTAATATATGAGACATGTAAGCAAATATACTTTAAATATTTCATCTAGTCAGAAACCAGACAAGAGTCCCTCCTTAATTGATTGAAATCGGAGTTTCATCTCCTTTGTCGCAAAATGGTATCACAAATTGGTGTCTATTTGTCATAGCTTTCTCTCCCGTATTATAGAAATTCTAAATTAAAATGATCCATATTATACAATGTACTTTTTCTGATTATATTTCTGTTTTCTTTCTCTCTTTATGTAGATTTTATCTGTTTCTTAACAGGTGAATCGAAAAAGAAAATTGACACGTGGAAACCTTTCGACTCATATTTTGTAGAGACACAACTTGTAAATGCCACAAAAGAAGCTTTAAAAAAAAGTGGAGTCGCTATTTTAACAGGACCACCAGGTTGCGGGAAAACAAGCACTGCATATCACTTAATGCTAGGAGAAGTTTACAAAGATTGGACAATTCGTATTATTCGAACATATGATGAGTTTACCTTCTTAGAGTCTGGTAAAAATACATTTGTTTACATTGATAACTTTTTAGATGGATTTCTGTGCTTTGAAAAATTAGACAAATGGCTCGATATTTTTACCACTATATTTTATAAACACATTCGGAAAACTGAGAATGGATTAACAACCATATCGGGGAGTGGTAATGTTCATCTCTTAATAACTACAAGAGAGAATGTTTACGACAGAATTTGCAAATATATGAAACAGGGAAGATCGCCAGTGTTTAACATCAAATGCATAGTAGATGCCAGATTAACCAGGCTTTCTGATGAAGAGAAAGACGGGATCTTTGATAGTCAAATAAGGTACGCTGATGAAATCATGAAAATTGGTAAACCTGCAGAAGATAAAGAGTTCAGGAAAAGAATAAAACAGGCGGAAGGACCTGTAGGTTTCCCTCTGTGTGCACATTTGTTTGCATGTAAAGAGGAATACAGATACACGGGTCCCCATTTCTTTTCATACCCATTAAAGTATTTTAGAACACAAATAAAACACGAAATTGATGCTGATAAAACAAAGAAAACGATGACTTTACTTCTTTTGTTGTTTCTGTTCGAATCTAAAAGTGAAGACGCTAGTAAAAGCGAAAATTTAGATTTGAGAAATGAAAAAGAGTGTGAAAAACTTTTGCATAGTTTGATTACTCCAAAGAAATCCTCAAAATTTCATCCACTTGACTTTGAAAATTTAACAAATGTTGCTGAAAATCTTACCAATGGGATACTTACAGGCCTAAAAGAGAGTGGATTTTACCGTTTTAAGCATCAAACTATTAGAGAGGCGGTCGGAAATTTCTTTTGTACCGAATATTATGAAAATGCTATGGAACTCTTTCCATTGGAGGTACTTCTATCTCAAAATTTTTCCTCATGTTCAATTGATCAATATATTGCACTTACATCACGTCTTATATCTGAAATTGAGAGAGGAAGTGTTTCTATGGTTTTTAGCTGTATTGCATTCAAAGATGATGCTTATTCCACACATTTTTTCAAACAGCTTCAACCAAACAACGACAAACGTCTCCGGCGTTTCCTCCTTATACCTGACGAAAAATCGTCCATTCCTCTCCAAGCTATATTCTGGATAAGTAAATATAACCTGAAGACATTGTTAGAATTATTTTTGTCGTTGATAGGTCAAAGAGGCATTGATGTTGAAATCCATAAATACCTTGCGTTGTTTGGTGAAATTTGCACATTTGATGAAAACCTACAGTCCAAAGCCGATAGAAATATGTGTAGAAATGTAGCAGAAACAAAGCGGGCGGTATTTGAGTATATGGACTCTGAGAAAAACACAATATTAGGTATTGTAATTAGGTCTGACAGATCCGACGACGAAGCAATGAACACCATCAAAATGTTATTGAAGGAGAATAAAAATATTGTCAAACATATTAATCAGCACAATGAAACTCCAGTAATGCTTGCCCTTAATTGTAATCGAGAAAGAAAAAAGGTTCTCAAAGAAATTTTACATTCTGATATAAGCCTAAAATTATCCTCAAAAGATGAGAAGGGATGGACAGTTTTTCATCACTGCATCACCTCCGATTTAAAAGACAAAGAATGTATCGAATATTTGACAATATTGTTGAATAGTAAATTGCAAAGAGACTTGAATTGTTCTAGTGAACTTGGTGAAACGGTTCTTAATCTCGCTGCAAAACACGCCAAGCACAGTAGAATCTTAAGTATTTTATCTTTAATAGAGGATAAAGATATAAATACAATGGATAATGATGGACGGACACCTATTCACAATGCAGTTGCACTACTTAAGGAAGTGGGACATGATCCCTATATTGAACTTGAAATTGCGACAAGAGTCAGCATTTTCATGATCTATGGCTGTGATGTAGGATTAAGAGATGATGAAAATTTTCTGGCTGCAGATATTTGTAATAAAACCCATTATGACGGTATCAAAAGAATTCTTGCATTAAAGTCAAAAAATCAGAAACAAATGTCCGAAATCATTCAGCAAACCCTGCACCAAATCGAAGGAAAATCAAGCTCAAAATGTGTCACTGTTCCAAACCCTATGGGTCTTATCTCGTCTGAAATGTTGAACGCCATAGGTTGTGCTGCTGAATGTCTAGCTGAAATTGAATTTAAATCTCTTTAAAGTACTATATATGTTACTATATAAATATTGCATGTAGTTGAGTGCAACACTGAAAATTTCCACCCCAAGAAAACCATTGTCAACCGAGGCCCAGCCGAGGTTGACAATGGTTTTCGAGGGGGGGAAATTTTTTCAATGTTACACTCAACTACATGAAATATTTGTTATACTGAATGTTTTTTACAAATACATATAACAGTGAACCTCGCGCGGATTAATTCTGCACAGTTACTATTTTTTGGAATATCACACGTCGTTTAGCAATGTTTACTGTTGCTTCGCTGGAGGACGTGGCTTCATCATTTAGCGGGTAATAGTGTTTTTTAACAAATGTTTCTCGACGAATCAGATTCAACTTATTTACATGAAAGTATGATATATATATATATATATATATATATATATATATATATATATATATATATATATATATATATATATATATATATATATATATATATATATATATATATATATATATATATATCGCATAGTATTAAAATTAGAAGACCTGTGAGAGGACTTTGAATGCACTCATGGATATATATAAAAACACTAGGATACCCAACGCATTAATGGAATGCGTGTATTTGACGGAAGATTTGTACAGTGTATTGCAGAATGTTTATTGCAATAATTCATTGAAGAGCATTTTGTGACGAAATTTGTTTTGCTCAAATCCCAGGCTTTGTTTTCGTTATTGTGTCTAGTTAAACTATGATAAACAATAAAGAGTAGACTTTTTACGTTCTCAAAATATGGCATATTCAGCTTTCTTCATGATATATATTTTATTTAAACCAAAACTTCGTTGCAAAAGGAGTATTATATGTATGTCTTATTTGCATATTATACATATAGTGTAAGTTAAAAAGGAACTGTTCTAAATGCCGCTTATGAATCACATACCAGTCATAACATCTGTAAGATGATACCCTTAATGATGTGGAAGACTACCGGACATACCGGAGCAGATGTAAATATAATATTGTGTTTATCTACCGATCCAAAGCAGTTTGGCTGTAATAAACATATATTACAGCAGAGAAAAAATGTTTGTATGTTAGTATAATATCATGCATCATCACATAATTCTTAACAATCTATATACTCCAAGGGAAAACAAAATGAATACATTGTATATCTGTAAACTAGAAGACAATGATAACATGACGCAATTACAGGACATACGGAATGCACCTTACAACATTGTAATCTACCAGTAATTTTTCAGGATAGTAGTCATATTACAATTTAAAATCATAGTACTATACGATGTTTCTAAAAAAAAAATCAGCATACATTACCAGTGTTTGAAAAGATATCAAATGATGAAATTCTTTTTCGTAAAACAAATTATCGAAAAAATACCAAAAAATCCTTGAAGTATTCTTTAGAGGGAGGTTAACAATATACGAATCGCAAACTTATTGGAACTCTTAAATTAAAGAAAATACTTAAAAATAAAGTTCAAAACTATCATTGTATATCCTTAAGTTCTTAAAAACAAATTTATTCTCAATTACAATGTATTTTTCTCTATATACTCTGTTTTAGGGTATCTATATAACAACTTTAAACTTTTAATTTTATATGTTCATATGACGTTGTTGTAGAATTATATTAAATTGTCAGATCAAATGTAAATTTTGTTTAACTAAATCATCATAATGGAGAACATTCTGACTTTCTTTATTACTGCATTGTGTGACGTGATATGGGTATAGAAAAGTGTTTGTAATAAAAGTTTTAAGGTCAAGATCTAGTAAATGGAAGCTTAAGGTGACGACAGATTTCTAAAATCTGAGGGAAAAAATAGTCAATGATGCTTTATAACTTTAGCTTGGTAATATAAGGTGTATCAGGGCATAATTTTTAGGTAAACGCCCCCAACATATTTTTAACTGTTATTTACAATGAAAAATGAAGAAAACTGTTCATGGATAGTATTTGCATAATGTATCCAGATTGCCTATAGTCTCTCAGAAAACGGTAATTTGTATGTTCTTAGACTCTTCCTTAAAATAATATTAAGTTGAATATAGGTATCAGAATTACTTTCTTCATTCATTCGGGAAAGAGAAAGTTTGAATTATGACGTTATAATGAATCTAGCGCAAAGAAAACAGTCTAAAGTCATTTACTAGATCTTGACCTTGAGTTCTGACATTTTAGATATGTTACGATATCGATTGGAAATTAGGCTAAATAATCAAAGTAAAAATTACAAACTGATGAGAGCAGAGCAACATGTATTCATAGATTCATCAGAGGTAGGATCAGGTGTCATGGAGGAGTAAGCATCCCCTGTCGAGCGATCACATCCGATGTTAGCGATTTGTCTTTATAGGGAACACGGTATAATCCGTTTATGATTAAGCATGCAGACAATAGCTAATTCATTTGCACTAATACGTCGGTCAACATTCGTCGTAATGACAACTGTGTTTTCAAACAATTGGAAGTTCATTATACCGACCATGTAATTTTAGATCTCTCGACTTTAAACATTATAGATGATTAGTTGAATGGGTCTGCTGAAGCAAAAAAAAAAAAAAAAAAAAAAAAAAAAAAAAAAAAAACTAGTATGTCAAAGAAATAACATTGGTTTTATATTTTTGGGTATCATAGATTACACACAAGGATCGACATTTTGATGTACACGTATATTTTACATTAATCTGCTTATCTTAAAAGTAGAAGTCAAGAATTCTGTCGGAAAAATCCTTCTTAGGTCAATAACAACTTTGCCGTAAACACCAACTCCCCCCCACCCCACCCCTCACCCCCCCCCACCCCCCACCCCCCAAAAAAAAAAAAAAAAAAAAAAACCAAGAGAAGAGGAAAAAGCAAACAAGTTTTTTTTTCTGTGCTTCCAAGGCAGATGCAGGGCTGATGAAATGCAATCACTTTATCGTCAGATCCAACGTTAGAGAATTTTAAATATGCCATCCTTTGCTCAGATTTTCCAAATGATAAAGCATTCTCATTTCATATGGACAGACCACGATGAGAGAATTACAGTCCAGAAAAGAAAAAAAAATTATAAAAAAATTAAAAATCAAATTGCTTCATTGATTATTAACCAATGTACCCATCAGAAAGTTTCATAATGTTTTGTAATCAACATGTTTGTAAGAAACTAATAATAACAAAAATGCTGAAAAAGGTTCATCAAGTATGAATGATCTGAAATACAAAAGAACCTATTTGAATTTTCATAAGAAAGAACGAATTTTGATATTGAGGGTGGAGATTGCATGAGAATTATAATCATTTTAGTAGAACTTAGTTTACCTAAACGTATATTTGCCGGAAGTGAACAAGTCGAAAAATACCAGCTATTTTCCCACGTACTCGCCATAGTTGTCTTTTAGAAACGCGTTATAAAAATCAAATTCACTAAATGCACAGTGAAAAAATGGAAAAATTTTTAAGTTAGTTTTAATTACCATTCTAAGCCCCCTTTGCAATTGTAGGCCAATGATTGAAACATTCCATATGTGGATTATGGCTTATAATCTTTGGTTGTGGTGTCATTTCAGACTTTAGAAAGTTCGTGCATGGACCTCTTTTTTTAATTTTAACCCTTAAATATCTTATTTCAAATTAAGAAATAAAGTCCGCGTTATCGTGAATGTTGCAGGATAACCTCCGAGGTCTCGAAATGTTGTCTGAAATATAAAAGCCGAGGCGTTAGCCGAGGCTTTTATATTTCAGACATTTCGAGACCGAGGAGGTTATCCTGCATCATTCACGACAACAAGGACTTTATTTCTATTCTACTAACAGCTCTAAAATTTGGCTGATCGTTTTCTCTATAGAGAAACGAATTAGGTCACCATGTCGCGAGTTTGCTGTTCCATTTAACACCAGAGTCAATTTGTTTGTTTACTTTGTGTCGATTGCATAAAATGCAGACGGTTTCAGCTTTCTTTGGATTATAAATATCCTTTAATTATTTATAAATTTGTTCGTAACATGTATGGATTAATTTTTTATGAATGTAAAATAACAAAATCAGTTGTCTATTTCATTGCTTTATCAGTAAAATCACGGAGTGTAAATGTTGTGGGGAGGTCCGTGGAACAACCCGACCTGGCTAAAAAAAAAGGATATTTATCAGCCGTTCAGGCAATACACACTATTTAGACTGCGTAAGACGACACATCGATATGGTCTAAATAAGTATCAGAATCTACATTGAAATATTTATTTCAACTGTACAGGTTTGACATGTGTTTCTGATCTGATAATTTTTTGATGACGTTCGTGATTTATTGGAGAATAATGTCCGCGGCATTTCTTTGATCTCGTCAATAACTATGGTAGAATTAATCTTATTCTTCATTTATCAAAATATTGAAATGCACTGTAGCATATATTTCATTTACAAAAGTATCTTTCATTTTATAATGCCATTCATATATAGTGATATTGTTATTTTCTCCCGTTAAAAAAAAATATATGCAAACACATATTTTTAAATTTGTATTTTCTAAAAAAAAAGATGGAATACGTACTTAAACTTAAGTGTAAAGTCCAATGGTTTTTGTACAGTTTAAAGTTGTAGAGCCTACACCAGTTACATTTTGTGCACAATTTCACTTTGTCCGTATTAAGTTACGTTTTACCAAAGGTTTGTATAAAACGCCTGGACTGTCTTATCATGGCAAAATTATATTTATGATGTGAAATTATCACTATGTGATGTGCTTTTATGATTATGTGATGTGCTTTTTTCACTTTGTAATGTGCTTTTGTCATTGTGTGATGTACATTTGTCATTATGTGATGTGCTTTAGTCATTATGTGATGTACATTTGTCATTATGCGATGTACATTTGTCATTATGTGATGTGTTTTTATTATTATGTGATGTGCTTTTTTCATTCTGTAATGTGCTTTTGTCATTATGTAATGTACATTTGTCATTATGTGATATACATTTAACATGATGTAATGTGATTTTATCATTATGTGATGTGTTTTTGTCATTATGTGATGCACATTTGTCATTATGCGATGAGCTTTTACCATAATATGATGTGCTTTTT